AAGAGTGTGAAGAGGCTGCCCCGCTGGGACTGATCTAGAAGAGAAGGTAAATCAGTAGACAACGAGGTACACTTGGCACACAGAACAGAGACTGTCCCTGCTCGCCCAACACATTCCCGGCACGGGAACTGCTCCTCGTGAGAGCTACACCTTCCCTCGTGGGGATCTGCCAGTACCTGCCAACAGGGGCTCACTGGACACATGCATTAGCACCAAGACACCTTCACTGACTCTGCTCCCTCTCTGGGACTGGTAAAGCTGCCCCAAGTGCTAACAACCACCATCAGCCCTGCCCAAGGCTGGCAATTCCCTCGGCCCCGTGCAGGAGAGGCTTTGCTTTGCTCCTGGTGGAGCTATCTGTGAAATACCATCAGTGTTAAAACAACTGGTTTACCATAGACAGTAGTTACACCATTCTACACTACTTCAGGGACTGCTAACCTGGTTTGGGGACTACACAGCAGTGAAAGGTGTCTTATCCTGAGGGACCTAAGTTTGGGATAGACACGCGATGCAACTGCGATTTGTGAGGAAATGCAATGCTGCACATACCTTGCAATGCTTTTGGATATGCTGTTGGAGAAAGCAAGCACACCAAGGGCTGTCCAAATAAGTTTGTGAAATTCTGCAACAGATAAGAATGTTGAAGTGTTGATGGTCACTTTGCTTGCCTTGAACATTCAGCAGGTCAAGGGCACAATCCCATTAAGGTCAGGAGACATTAGTGCCCCTCACACAGCTCAGCACTGGCAGCGAGGCCAACAAGGTCACTTGTTCACAAATCATGGCACAGAAGGAATATAACCCACTACATTTTATGGGAATCCTCTCATTTCACTGCTGCTGATGGCAGACACTGATCCCATGGAATGTGGCTTTCAGGAGCAATACACTACTTGGAAACAAATCATGCTGTGCAGTCAAACTGAAATCCATTGCCTTTCAGGCTGGAACAGCTCTAGCATCTTCCCTCAATACCAGCTGAACTGCCCAAAGTAATTTCTTTCCCCTTCCCTTCCTAGCAGGAGGGGCTGAGGAAAGAGGAGAGCCGAGTGTTTCCTTTAAAGCAAGTATGTCATAACTTAACATCTGCTGCACTGAATCCTAGTTTGACAGTGCTCATTTCATGCCTCTTCCACCAGCACCTCAAATATTGCCCCAGTGTCCCAATGCACAAGGATTCCTCCAGAACCTCAAGCACTGTCCACCAACATCTACCTGCTAACTGTGCGTCTCTCTGGTGGCAAAGAATGATCACGAAGGGGAAAAAACCAAAAGTCACAACCTCCTGAGCTGTGACCAGAACAGCTTTCCTACAACTGAGGCTCCAAAGCTGTAGAAGAGGTAAGTGACAATATCTGCACCCTCCAAGCCAGGCCAAGCCACACACTCAGTGCCCCTGAGTGCCACACACCCCTGCAGATCAGCTGCCAGGCTCTGAGGGCAAGACACTCAACACCACAAGGATTTGCTTGTGTGCAATCCTCAAAAAGCCAATTTTTGTAATTCCTTCTGGATTCTGTGTCATTTAAGTGGAACTTGCCCTTCTAGGCAGTATGGTTCAGTTAAATGAGCTTCACAGAAGTAATTTGGTCTAAGTCTGTTACACACTAAAGTCAGTAATCTAGTCTAATCCACATAGAGCATTTCCCATCTCTGGCAGAGTACTGACCAGCCCTAAAATCCCTTCCAGTTCATTAGGAGCCCAAGAAGCTGGATAATGCTGGATGTAAGGGTTGGTCTCTGATGAAGAGACAAAGACTATTCCCTTGCAGACAGGGATTGGTGAAACTGAACCATACAGAAACATTTCACACTCCAGAGGTCAGCCCAGGCTCTGCTGGTTTGAATTGGACACACTGGCAGTTCTCACCTTCTCTAGTAACTCCTGTGCTCAGTGTTCATGAACAGATTGCCATGTTTAATCCCATCCTGTATCCCTCATCCCAGCCCAAGGCAGACTCGCCCCGGTGAAAACCATACTGCAGTCAGACACTGTCAAGAGCCACACACAAACCCAAGGGTCACTCGGTGTCTCAGACAAGGTATCACTCACTGGCAGTGCCTGGGATCACTCTGGACTGTCCCAGCAGAGGTTAAGCCAACACAGCCAGTGAGTCCTGCACAGGGGACAAACTCCACAGCTCAACCCACAACCCTTCAGAAGACAACTGCTGCTGCCAGCCCTGCACCCACACTGCACATCCAGGAGAGGCCTCAGCCTTCCCAGTCCCTGTCTCAGCTCCTGCCCAGACACAACTGCCTCCCAGAGCCCAGGGGAACACCAGGATTCACTCACCACCCACCACCTCCTCTGCTCCCAGTTTCCCCAGACGAGTGCTGTGGGATACATGGAACTGGAGCATTTACAGCTGTGGCTGGGAGTGGAGGGACACAGGGTGCACCAGGAAAACCTGCCCTGCAGCCCAGATGTTGGCAGCTGCCCTGGATGAGGGATGCCCTACCTTTCAGTGCTCTGGATGAGGAATGCTCTACCCTTCAGTGCATGGGTAACTCCAGAAAGGATAAACCACATTTTGTTTCAAAACTGACTCTGCTTTCTCACCTCAGCATCCCAGTTTTCCAAGAGAAGCACTGCTGCTTTTACAATGCATGTCATGCACACCTCTTTCCAAAAGAGAACTCCCCATCATCTCCAGACGCTGTCCCTTCACATGGGAGCTTTACTGAGTGTTCACACCATACCACTGCCAAAGGCCTTGCACTTCCCTTGGCTGGAGGGTTTGGTTTGGGTCAGTTTTTTTCAGCACTTCGCATCTGACCATGATCCTGCACAACCAGAGCTCCAGGAAGGTATTGATTTAAAAATACTATCCCCTCCACATATGCAGGGGTGACCTTCAGGCACACACAGACATCTATATTTAAATGGAAGTGTTAGAAACACTTCCCGGCGCTCGGGAGCTGTGCTCGGTCTGCAGTCATCTTCCAGCTAAATATACAGGGGAGGAAGCTGTTCAAGTGCTGCTGATCTGACGAACTGGCAAGTCACTTCCTGGCAGGACTCACTTGCAGCCACCAGCAGCAGAGCCCTCCAGGCAGAGGGAGGTTTGCGTGCGGGTGCAGAACAGCGACGTGTGAGCAGTGCCTGCTCCTGCCGGTGCTGCCAGCAGTGACATTTAAATGTCAGGATAGCTCCTGTCCTATCAGGAGAGATCAGCGCAGCCATGTGGAAAGGAGTCAGCACTGGCTGCAGTTCCTCACACGGTCGCACAGAACCTCTTTGTCCGTGCCAGGGCCAGAGCCCACGAAGTCATCGGGCACTGCCAGGGCACTGTGGGGACAGGCACCTGGGCATGTGGACACACACAGCATGGTGACAGGCAGGGATGGGCACAGGCCAGCAAGTGTTGACACACACAGCTCTGCCAGGAACCTCCTGTGGAGCACAACACGAGACACCCAAACCCATCCCCACACCTCAATCTGCCTGTGCTCAGCGACAAGGGCAAGGTCAGTGTCACTGCTGAAACACTGAGCACACTGCTCTCCAGACTCCTCACAGTTGTGCCCACACAGTTCTGATCTGGGTCACAGCTCCTGACAGCCACTCCTATAATCCTGGCCTGAAACACTTCCAAACCTCCCATTTCTGTGCTCCTCACACCAGGCAGAGCTGCACTGCTCTCGCACCAGCTGCTCCGTGTGCTGAGCACTGACACCACTGAGATCAGGCCACAGGGAGAGAAACTTGGTGCAGGTTACAGATTTGTTTACTGTGTGCCCAGAGAAATCTAAAGGTAATACAAAAAGCAAATTCTCCTTTGGACACTTGGCAGTTGTTCTCAAAGAAGCTACAAACCTATGTGTGGAAATCCACGACCCCAAACAGATCCTTTGCTCTGAGCTGCCCACGGAGCCCCAGTCTGTCCAGAGCTGTATTTGATTTAAAGATCACCAGGAATCCCTTACTCTCCTACAGAGCTGATCCACTTGACATCTTTCAGCAACTCCAAGAGAGGAAGGGGGTAAAAAACCCAAAACCAACCCAAAAACCAAGCCCAAGCCACACTCTGTGCCCTAAAACAAAACCAACCCTGACGTTACACTGGAATGAATGTCAGGAAAGAGCAGAGGAAAATAAATCCCTACAAAATGCTCCTTTTCTCAGAAAGACAAGAAAATCATTCCAGTTGTGTTTCCCTTCCTTTAAAGAGGGAAGGGAATTTAATAAAAAGCAGCTTTGCTCTCAGACCTTAAAGGCAGTGGTAATTAAAAAGCCCTCTGAGATACATCATGGTGCAAGACAGAACTATGGGCAGGCCCACAGACCTATGGCTCAGCACACAACTATCCCAAGTCCCACTGACCACTGACTTAGTGCCTCTCCTTGGCCAACAAGTGCCTTTAAACCCAGCGGCACAGCCTGTGGGCACTGAACAAGGCACAAGCTCCTCTGGCCACTAGACGTCCCTGTTCCTCCTCGGAGCGCAGCTGTGGATGTTCCCTTGCCTCACTGCACATAATGGAGCTATAAACAGGAAGACAGAAGAAGTGGCACTTTCCCCAGATACAGCACATTCTTATTACCCCATTCATGAATGAAACAAAAGTGTAACGCTCTCCAGATCCAACTGGCCACAGAGTGCAGTGCCTGCTGCTGTGTTACCCGAACTGCAGGTTCCCAGAGGTGATTTGGCATGGAGCAATTCTCCTGCAAGTCCAGAGCACCCTAGGAAAGAGGCTCAGTGTCCAAGCAAACACCTACAGTAACACTGGATGCTAATTTGAGTCTTGTTACTTCCTTGGTTCAGACACTTGTCAGACACAGACACCCCGTGTTTTATAAGACCAGGCTCAATGCTTTGACTCCTTTCTGCTGCTTAAAAGCAACTGAGTGTTGGAAGACTGGAAGAAAGAAAAGCAGATTAGTTATCTCCCTCCCCCATGCACACACACCAAGATTTGTCTTTGGTATATAACAAAAATAAACCTCCCACCAGAGACCTTGGAAATCTTGAACCTTTTTTCCCTCCAGGAGGATTTATTACTTTCCAATGAGCGGCTGTTCATGTGCTTCTCCTTCTTGTTCCTATTCATAGGGTCAGATCCTGACTAGCATGCACAACCTCAAAAGAAAAGAAAGACTGAATACAAACTGTTTAAAAAAAATAGCCTGTTAAAAGTGTAAGCTAACTAGGGGTTGACACTGCATCCTACCACACCAGGAGCTGCCTTGGAAGGCCTTACCTTGTAGGCGACGCTGTTGGAGGAGTCCACAATGATGAACAAGGGCTTCCTGGTGAAAGGGTACAGATCTCCAGGGTGAAGGCTGCAAAAAGAAAGGGACGGCTCACAGAGCACGAGAACTGCTGCTCAGCTGTGACAGTGCTCGTGTTTCTCAGCCCCACTCCTGCCCTTGTCTAAAAATCAAGCAGGTTGCCCATGCCCCAGTCCTCAGATCCATCCTCAGAGTAACTGCCCCACTAACCTGGTACTCTCTAAGATGGGCTACAGCACTTCTAATTGGCTCAAGCGATGTTTACCTTCTTGAGAAGTCAACCCCCATTAATCTGACTTTTGCCAGCAATAAACAACTTAAATCACAGTGATACTTTCTGAGTGTTTAAACCGTCATTCAACACTGCACACTCATTTCTCAGTGTCCGATGTCAAGTGTCAAGCCAACCTCCATTATGGTGTCCTGAATTGAGGAGTTTGAATTCCAGAGACATTTCTCTCTATTAAAGACAAGTTCTTCTGGCCTGCAGGTGTCACAGTGGCACTTACCAGTGCATCTCCTTGTAGGACTGGTTCCGCTTGTGGATCGCGTCCCCGTTGATAATGTCGCGGTTGCTGTTGGTCAGAACACCTCCAAAGTCATAGGGACCTGCATGTGGTGAAGGGAGAGCTAAGATCAGCAGGGCAGTTCACCTCTGACAGGAGTTAGTGGTCACATGAAAGGGAGGAAGCAACAACAAATCCCAGAAAACAAAGGGAATCTGAGCTACTGCGGCTGTAGGGAGAGGAGAGAGGAATGTGGAGACTTCACTAACTGCATGTGCCACTTTATGCACTTTTAACAGGTTCAGCATCTATCAAATAGAAGCGATCAATGCAACTTCACAACTCCTAATTTAATTATTCACTATTTACCCAAAAACATAGTACAAAAGATCCAAATATTGGCTCTTATTACACCACAGAGCAAAAGGATTAAAACCCATTACACATCTGATACAGGAAAATCAACACCTTTGTAAAATTACTGCATGAGTTTGTATATTCCAGATGCAGAATTGGATCAAAAAATCAGGCTAAATTAATCAAACAGAATAGATACGCTACTGTCACTTGCAGTTCTAACACTGCAAAGGGGAGAGGAGAGAGCTCAGAGTGACAGAAGGACAGCACAGTTGTAAGCAGATCTCAACTCTGCAGTGAAGCTTTGTATTTTAAGATCTCAAGGCCTGAGATCACAATTTTCACCGGCACAAACCCTGGGCATGTGTTCCCATGGCAAGCTAGAGAAACATTCTGCTACGTTTGCCCAGCTGAGCTATCTCTTGACTGTCTGATGGAGAGCAAAGGTGAAAGCAATGGCTATAAAACCATCAAAACCTGCACGATACCAAGAAACATTTCTGCCGTTGACATGGGTATGAAATGCAGACAAAGTATTAGTTTTCTCATTCTGTTACACATCTGCAGAGCTGGTTGAGCCACACTTGGCTACCAAGTGCAGTTTGCTGAGGTTTGGGTGTAAGACTCCTTTGCACTTTCAGAGAAGCTTTGGGGAGACAAGGCAGGGCAGACAGACACTAAGGGGTGACACAAGGCAAGGTGGGCAGCCCTCTCGGCCTGCCTGGGGGAGTGCAGAGCTGAAGGGCTTGGGGGGGCTGCAGCCCTGGGGGCTGAGCCCGGGTGGTGCAGAGGGAGGGCTGGGGCTACCACAACACGAGCAGGGGGGAGCACACAGCACAGGCTCTAAACACACCGCTCAGGACCTGTCACCAGGCTGCAGCAAGCAGCAAAATGTTAAAAGCATTCAGAAAAATCACTGCCACAATCCAAAGCTGCCAGGGATTTTTTTCTTCTTTTAACATTTTGAGAGCTCTACACATCATGCGCTGGGGAGGACAAGGCATGCATCTTATAAAGGAATGCAAGTCTCAAACAGATGAGGTTTGTACGGTATTTAGGATGTTACAGAGTTGTGTCAATTTTTTTCTGAAATTATTATGAACAGATCTTTGGACTGTGTGTACTTCAGCCAACCAGTTTTCAGCTTTGACATTGGAGCTGCATCCAAATATTCTGCTAGATTGCCAAGAACAGGAGGATGAGGTGAGGGGAATTGTCAGAAATCATGAGAAGGGCTTGAATTGTCAGGCTAACAAGTGTGCAAATTGAGCAGTCCCTGCAGCACTTCAGCCCTTCCACCACCCATCTCCTGGTGCTGGGGTTGGAAAGGATCACAAAGTGCCACTCAGCCTGTTCAGGAACTTTGCACTGATGCATCCACTGAGCCACGTGGTCTTCAGAATTGGGGAAGGTTTTAATACTTCAGATGCATCAAAAACTGGATGTGCCCTTTGGAAAGTTCTCAGGTTAATGCACACTAATCAAACACTGTTGTTGGGGGGGGAAGGAGCTATCTTACTGAGCAGGCAGGAGAATCAAATTGACTGGTCTTTTAGAAGGAGCTTTGTGACATCTTTCTCGGTCACTTGTCCTGGAACACGGAGAATTCAAGCCCTGTTCATGACAGGGAGCATTCCTTTATTGTACCTTCACTATCCGAACGACCTGATGGAAACACGCCCGTGGCAGACAGGTAGATCAGCAGCACACTGTTTGCAGGCAGCTCCTGGAAGTCAGACAAGGGGAGGAGTGGCAAGGGGAGAAAGGCACAGGTTTATTTCAGTAGTCAGACATCACCTCCAGACACACATTGCTGTTCCAATGCTGCTCCTGCCTCTGGCTGCCCTCCCTGCCCCTCGCACGGGCAGCACACATAGGACACCTGATGCCATGTCCAACCTCCACACAGACCCCACAGCTCATATCAGAGGGCCAAGCAGCTCTGAAAAAGCATCTGCTTCCACACAGACTATCTAGCCAGACTGAGGCTTTCCAAGATCTGGAAATCAAGAGCTGCCAAGATCCATGCAGACCCTAATTCCCAGACAATTCCCCATCCTAAAGGAAGGTTTGTTTCCAAATACCCCAGAGTCTGTGACATCTGCTTCATCCCCCTGACCCTTCTCAGCTGGACAACAAGCACAACACACCCAGGTTTCAGTACAGACCTGTGAAAAGAATCTATTTCCCACTTCTCTGTGTGCATGAGGGAACAGATGTTTTCCATGTCTGCAAGAGGCTGAGCATGCAGAAACCCAAAATTCTAAGTAGTAAGGATCCACTTCCTTCACCTCACCACTACATTGAAGCAAACTGAAAGTTGTTTCTTTACATGGTTCATACTTTGGTTTTACTAAGCTGCTGACTTGTATGGTCACAATTAAGCATAATGAGCTCAGAAACTTTATTACATTAACATAAGCACATCAACTGTGTCAAAAAATCTACAAATGTATAGATTCCTGGCATGGAGCAGTGGGCAAGAAAATAAGACAGGCAGATAAAAATACAGCACATGCAGGAGAGACAATTCAACTGGATATAGGACTGGAGATCTGGCAGCTAAACAGTGCTGAGGAGCAACAGTTTCCTGACTTACTTCCTTGCTTCTGGATTGTTTGACATGACATGAAGTAGAAAAATACTAAGGTTTTTCTCTTCTCCACATTTTATTGTCACATACCATCCTGGCTATTTTTTATTACAAATAAATTCACAGTGTCACGCACCTTAAATGATGCTGCTAAAAATGTATAGAGCTGGCTAAAAGTTGGTTTGTAGAGTAGGTACTTGTGGGGGTTTTCCCTCCTGGCTGGTTTCTCTGTCGACTCCTGTTAAAACAAACAAAACACCACTCAAAACCCCCAACAACCAGAGATCACCCAAGCAGTTCCACAACCCACCAAATTTCCACGTATTAGGATGTTCATTTCCAAGACACTTCCCACACAATGGTCTGTCCATGCTGCATTCCCTACTAAGCAAGGTCCACAGTATTCAGACCAGAACTTTGTATCACCTCTCACACTTGCTACCTAAATCTTTCTTACTCTCTAAATATCACCCAAGAAAGAGTGAAAAAATTTACTCTTCATCTCAAGTAAAAAAACTAAAATCTTCCTGTTTGCTTTTTCCCCCATATAAAATATTTTTATGCTTCTTCTGAAGGGATATTAACCTTCAGATGACTTGGAAAGCTGATGAATCCACAAGTCTGAGCTACTCTTCACTAACCCCTAGCGAGAGTTACACCAGCTTTACTAACCTGCCCTGCACAGTGACCGGATGCTGCAGGGACACACTACCCAAAGCCAAACAAAGTCCCAGGGAAGCGCTGCTGCCAGGCCTGGCACTGAGGTGGAACTCACCTGCATTCCAGGTTTGTTCATCTGTGTGGCTAAGTTCATTGGTTCTCTCTCCAGAGCCTGCAGCATTCGGAACATGTCGATGGTCAATTCACTGAACTTCACCTGCAAGAGAATCAGTTTATTCTGCAGACTGGGCAGGATTCTTTGAATTATGCAGGTAAGAGACCCCACTGCACACCAGACAGACCACTCTCTCTCTCTCAGTGGTCAGTGTCATCTTGCACCTCCAAAGAGCTGAGTGACTTCTAGCACAGCTGACAGAGGACAGGGTGTTTGTTACTGGCCTGCCAGGCAGGTCACCACAGAGCTGACCCTGCTGCCAAACTAGACTTTCTGGGGTGTTTACAAACCAGGTGCTGAAATGGCCACATGCTGTGAATTCAGGCAAAGCTGAGAAAGATGCACCAAGTGTGGTTTAGATACAATGCCCTTGCTTACTGAAAAGAGAGCTCAGAGAGAAGTCATGAAGTTGCAACTTCACTATCCTCACTATCACCTAAAAATCAAGACCATGAATGGTCTTGTGAAAACCCTTTCCTGTTGCACTGGAGTTGCAGCAAGCTGGAGTATGTTATGGGAAAGGCTAAGTCAAGCTTGTTCTAGACATACCCCAGAGGCCTCTCATGTTTGAATGCTAAGAACAATCCAGGATATGAAAATCAATTCTATGCACTGAATTGACACGATGAATATAAGCAATAAGAGGTCAGCACAAGGGTCTAACATCTAATGGTTCATTTTTAGCTCTTCTTTCTGAGAACCTTTTCTTGCTGCCACCACAAACTTCACAACAAACACATGCTGATGTTGGTCTGCACTGGAGTCTGTGCGTGGTCAGAAGGGATGTCATGGGGGAAGGACTCTGAGCTCCACAGACACCCCCAAGATCTGTTACCTGGTTGTTGCAGTTCCCAATGATCAGGGCATCTGCAAGAGCAAGCTGTCCCACTATCATGCCCTGCTCCAGCAAGGGTGCTCCTGTCTCTGAGAGCCTGTTAGAGGTGATCACGATGGTGTTGTCATCATTCAGGACCATGACAGGGTCTGCCTGAAAAAAGCAACCGCAACAAACCAGGAATTCAGGAAAACATCCAGTGCTGCAGTCAGACAAACAGGTCTTGTCTCCCACAGCAAACACTTCATAGCTGAGGCAGATGATTTAAGCTACTTTGCCATACCTGTATTTGTGTATTTGCAGGCTACAGGGCAATGCCTTCCCACCTGGGAAAGCAAAGCTCTTAGGGCCTGCAAGAAATACATGGCACAGGCACATGAAGGGACAGCAAATAGAAAACCACACTGCCTCTACTGACACGGACTCAGCTTTGGCTTTTCTATGCCTGCAGAGCCAAATGTCACCAACAGCCTTACAAATTCACACAGAGTAAGCTAAATATTCCTGCACAGAGAAGAACTCTGCACTGTTCTAGTTTGCCTTCCCTTCCTAGAGATGAACAGCACAGGAGGTGAGTGAGTGCTAACACTGCCACCCGTTCTGGCAGGGTTAGATCCTCCTGCTCACAGCTGCCACAGGGCAGTGACTGAGTGGGGCAGGAATCCTGTCCCTGCACGTGGCACATCTGCTAATTGTGAAGGCAGACTGGAGGCCTCAGGAATGAGAACAGCATTGACCTTGACGAGATAAGCCTGTATCCCTGAGACTAATGAGGTAAAAACATCTTGTGAGAATGGACTACAAAAAGAGAATGATTAGCTTGTATCCATGAGAATAACGAGGCAGACATCATCTGAGAAATGAAGATGTCACTAAGAAGAGAATGTTTTGGGATAACAAATAAGGGCACATGGAAATAGCTGTTAACCAATAAATTAGGCATTACCACATCACTGACCAACAGGTAATAAACACGGTGTGTGAAAAACAGTACAAAAGAGGCACTGTAGAGATGGTGGGGGATTAGAAATAAAGTTTTGCTGTCATCACAGCTCCTGTGTCTTGACTGTCTCGACATTCACAGAGAGGTCTGTGACAGCTCACCACACACAGCTGCTGGCACAGGATCACTCTGGCATTCTCACCTCAATAAACGCTGCCACTTCCTGAAGAACCAGGTTCCACTCCACCTGATCTTCAGTGTTAAAGCGATGAGTGTAGTCCTCAATTTCATCCGACAGCTCCTGTGTGAACAGACCAAGGCAGAGACAGTCACTTCTCCAGCCCAGAGCTAACGCAGCCAGTGACTTTACACGTGGTTGGCTGTGCTGGCCCTTAGGGGTGATCAATAAACAAACTCCTTGGGAACAGATGCAGCAGCCTCCTGACTAACATGCCAGCCAAAACGCTCCTTCAGCAGACAGAATGCCAGCGTTACACTCCATTTTGGCAGTGGAAATTGGCTTTTAAGTGGGTCCAAATGCAAAGAGTCTCTGGAGTTAAGTATAACTATCCCACTCATAGCTATGTCACTGGTTATTACCATAAGCTATGGATACCAAAGACTCAAATTTCAGCTTACAAGTAACTTTAAATACAATGAGAAAGGGAATGGTGTGGCTGTTTTAGCTGCTGCTAAGCTAAGCTAGCAGTTCATGGAAGCTCAGACACAGAGACAGCAGTGCAACCTACACAAAACTGTCAAGACCAGGAGCTGCTTGCAGCAAGGTTGTGAGTGGGGCTGGGAAGCATATGCTGCGAGGAGCAGCATGCTGTTCCTTTGCTGCAGTCACAGGGCACCTCCCTGTCTCGGCTGCAGCTCCTGGATTATTTTTTTTCACTTGGTGTTCAGACAATGCTATCAAATCATTTGAGCTGAAAGTGTCATTACTGAGCGTCTGAATCACAGAAGATATTCACTGTGCTGGATGTCAGACAGACTAGAAAATCAAGGATCAGCAACCTCCCACCCCTCAGCACTTCCAGCCTCACTCTGACATACCTTCACGAGGTCCTTCACCACATCCATTTTGTTGAGAAGGAGACAAACCACTATGAACCTTGCATAGTAACGCAGCTTCTTAACCACCAGCTCGGGCCTGAACACAACAAACACAGCACAGCCAAAGGTGAGGCTAAACCAGAGCAGAGGCAGGAGCAGGGGCAAGGGAGAGGAGGAGTTTGAGGCCAGAGCAAGGCTTAACACTGACTGTGGCTGAATTCATGTGGTGATCAACAGCTACTTGGCTGCTTAGAGGTTTGTTTGAAATTGAGTACAGGGAGACAAAAAATACCCTAAGGAAGCCACAGCCTCTCCCTTCTCCACAGTCTCTGTATGAGGAAGGCATGGGATGTCATGCCTAGCTCCTCACACCTGGTTGTGCTGCAGTACTAGCTGGTGTTCCCCTGAGAAGCCTGACTAGAATTGAGTTCCTCTGCTTCAGTCCAGCTGGCCCAATCCCAGATTCCATCCTCCTTTCAGGGCCCAGCACTGACAGAACATTCCTTCAGTCATACAGCAAAACTCTTACTTATCCTGAGATATTTTTTTTATCATGGCAGGAGGATTAAAAGAAACTTCCTTCAACAACACAGATTCTATCCCAGTTATACTCATACTACAGCTTGTAGCTACTTCCATGCACTATTCCAGTCTTGGAAAAACAAGAGGATCCATTCAGACATACCTGTCTTCTTTGTTGACTTGGGAGTAGTATGACCTCTGCCTAATGGCTGAGTAGAAGGAGAACGCCTCGTTGAGATAGCTGGTTTCCGAGGTGCGCAGGCTGTGGGGGACAGCCGGGTTAGCTTCCTGCCTCAGGTGGAAATCCATGCCAAGCCCTCCCTTCCTGCCCCCTCAACCATCCTGTGCATCCGTGGCAGAACTCCCTCCTCAACTAACACCATGTGGAAGCCAGACTCCCATTCCCTGTGCCTGCTGGGAAGCCAGATTTCAGAGCTTGGATCCCACTTCAGGCAGCAATCAAAGCTGCCCGTCTTGCACCCAGATGGACAGGTGATGAGTTCATTGAGAAGTTGAAAGGAACGTGAAGCTCCCAAACTCATAAATCACCCTTTGGCCCAAGAGTGCAATGCAGCATGGAAGACACTTTGGAGGCAGGAGAGAAGTCCTCAGGCAGCACCAGTGTGAAACAGGCTCGCGGGTGCCTCTCCTGCAGCACCCCATGCAGTCAGTCCCAGGGCCTCCTGGTCCAGACACAGCCCTGTGCCTCAGCCCTGTTCCTGAGTCTCCTGACTGCTCACCAGGGAGCTGCCCCTAACCCTGCACCCCCCACTGAATCCTCTGCTGGGCTTACTTACTAATAATGGTAATAGAGCTGCCCAATCTTGGAAGCAATTTCCCCAATTTGCCACCTCTTCAACCCATACCGATTGTCCAATACTTGTCTATTTTGCAAGAGAGAAAAGAAAGATTAAAAGGCATTCCCGAATTCCTCAGAACACCCACCAGACAAGACAAAGAGCCACCACAGGACCAAGCTCAGCTCGCTCCTGGCCAGCAGTCCCTGGCAGAGCCAGCACAGCCCCCACACCCCAGAGCAGGGACCCTTTATCTTGCATAACGTGGTGAGAAGCAGACACGAGTGTGTTGCACAAAATGCACACAACAAAAGGTCACAACTTCCCGGGAGAACACTCCGGCTGCGCAGCCAAGGGAAGGTGTGAAGGATCGGAGCCCACGCTGCAGAGAGGCTTCACACCACTCCAGATGGGCTCTGCTCTGCAGAATCCATCATCCCTCACCCCCTCGGCAATGGATTAAAGCACCAACACTCAGGTGCAGCTAAAGGGTCTGCTAAGAGAGCCACACCAAAGACTCTGCAGCGTTTCAGCTCGTTAGCCTGTGAGCACTGCAGGAAGTGGCTGTTCTCTCCCTTCATGCTTGAACAACACAGTGAGATCTCAATCTGAGCCGGGCCCTGGGCATGCCAGAGATTAAAACTGCACTTAAACCCACGACTCATACGCCCACAACATTCCCTTCCCGAAGTCTGCCTACAACATTCCCTTACCGGTGCTGCTGTTGGAACTTCCAGAGCTTGGTGTAAACATCAAATGTTCGCCCGAAATAGGATTGCCACTGCTTCTGTCCGTACTGAGGTAAATCCCTGCAACAGGCAGCGACAAAGGCAGAATTAGGCAGTGGATTCCAGCGTGACAGCAGGGTTTGTGTCAGTCAGAACAGCTTTGTTAGGGATTGATTTGAAACACTTCAGGATTCTGCCTGCACCCAGAGCTATGATTCCTGGCATTTCTCCGAACCTGCTGGCACTGCATCACCCCAAACACGAAAGGACCATGTTCCTACGTGCAACAGGCAGCGACAAAGGCAGAATTAGGCAGTGGATTCCAGCGTGACAGCAGGGTTTGTGTCAGTCAGAACAGCTTTGTTAGGGATTGATTTGAAACACTTCAGGATTCTGCCTGCACCCAGAGCTATGATTCCTGGCATTTCTCCGAACCTGCTGGCACTGCATCACCCCAAACACGAAAGGACCATGTTCCTACGTGCAACATTGAAAACAT